TCCAACGCCCGTGCGAATGCCTGAGCATGCGGGTTAGTCGATGCCATAAGTTGAGCCCTCTCTCGCTCTAGGATGTCGCGTGCCGCAGCCGGAGACCTAGTCGTCGTCACTCTCTAGGGCTGCGTGAGACTCTCTCCAGCCGCGTTGTCCCTCGATGGAGCGCGATCCGTCGATGTCGCCCCGCCGCAACTAGGTGGAAGGCCCATCGACAAATCTAAGTCCAGGTGGCTCCCCATCTGCGAATCCGACATCCCCAAACCCCTCGCCACACCTGGGGTCATACCCGCCATGACCGGATCGTACTGCTCCATGAGGAACTGCTGCATGAGGCGCTCGTCGCCACCCCCACGCGACACCTCCGCCTATGCCCCTATCTCCTCCTCCACTGCTCCTGGCATTCCCCCCTCCACTGCATCCGCTCCTCCAGCTGCTCCTGCTGCTGCAGCCACAAGCCCATCCAGTGCAGCTGCTCCTCCAGCTGCTCCTCCCGCTGCTCCTCCAGCTGCTCCCGCCTGCCCCTCCACTGCATCTGCTCCCCCTGGCACTGGTGCCTCCTCTACCAACACTGAAGCTGCCATCTCCTCTAGCAATGAAGCCGCTGCTGCTACAGCTATCTGGTCCACCACACCTGCAATCGTCGTGTCCGCCAATCCCCCCTCCACTGCCATCTCCCCCTCCACTGCTGCTGCCGACGGTCCCCCCTCCTCCTGCAAGACCCCCGGAAAAGGTGATCGTAACCTCAGCTGCCGGACTGCCCCGCCTCTGTGGAGTAGTCCGCGCTGAGGCAAAGAGGACGCCAACTCCTCCGTGTCCTCTGCTGCTGTGGTCGGCTCATATGGCGCGACGGGCGAGGGCGGTGCAAGACTCGGAGCAGAAGGTGGCGGCATGGACGACTCCTGCCTCGTCGGAGCGGGGCTCGTCGTCCGCGCTCCTGTGCCGCCCGTCGAAGCGACCTCCCCGAACGGTCCCCACAACTCCTCTCCCCCCATCATCTCCCTCTCCGCCCTGTCAGCGTCCCGTCGTGCAGTATGCGCCCTGGTGTCCTCCTTGGGATCCAGGTGCGTCTCGTCGATCTCATGGGGAATGCGGAGCGCGGGGTGGTCCGCTGCCTCGGGTACCGGCTCCTCGTCGGAATCATCCTCCCTGCGGTAAGGACGGAAAATGGAAGCACGTCTACCGAATACTGCCTCAGCGGCGGGTGGTGCGGAGACCCCGATGGGATCCTGGGTGATAAGCGCAACCTGACGGGCAATCTCCTCCGGCGTCATCCCCCTGCGCGTGCCCCCGTGCGCACTGGCCCCAACTCCAGTCCGGCCTGGCAGTCTAGCATGCCCTCGTCCTACTGCCATGGCAGCACATAACCGCACCCAGCCCATCGATACTCCGACAACCTCACATTCGCGGTGATCTCAACGAGCCGAACGACCTTCTCAAAGGCCAACTGGTTCCGCTTCTTCGTGTGAATGCCCTCGTGGACTGCCCAGTTCCTTTCTGCTGGAGAGGCGCAAGACCACATGTGCATCACACGAAGAGCGCAGCGCTGCAACTCAGGCGCGCCAGACCCGTACTGAGACCACCAGGACGGGCACTCAATCGTCTCCCTGTCGCCGCTGCAAGCACGCCCACGAGCACGCCCCTCCCCCCCTCCCCAATCCCCAAATGTGCCCTGCTGCATGTGGAAGTCCTCAAACTGTCGACATGCAATGATGTACTCCACACCATCCTCCTCGTAACCCGTCTGCGTCAAAATGTACCTCTTGGCTTGCCTTACAAGCCAACGAGGGTAATCCCTCACCTCGCCCGAAAAGTACTCAACATGTCGCCTGCGGGGGTTCAGTAAGAACCCCGCGCAGTGAGCCGGCTCCAGCATGTGCTGTGTGCGAGCCTGCACACGCCTGATTATGCGGTCAGTGAAAACCCTCCCCAAAGGAGCGCATGCATCAGTGACACGGCGGACAAGATTCTGTGTCCACTCGATCATGAGGGACATGTACTGCCCCGCACGATCCATCCGCCTAAGCAGCTCCATGACGGGCTGCATGATGTGGACTATGGTGGCCATCGTGTGCCACCAAGGCTCCCATCTGATCTGTCGGCGCACCCAACGCGCCATGTCACACACATCGGCGGACCACGGTATAGAAACAAACTCCCACCCGTCATCCCCTCGCATCATCGCCTGCAGAGCGTCCTGCAGGGCCAACAATCTCTCCAACATAGAATAAACAGACGCGAACCGCGTCTCGCAAGAAAGCACAAGCCCCTTGTTAGGGCTGCGCTTCCTAAAGAAATAAAGGGCGGCCTGGTGGGTTTTGAAAAACACCACCAGAACACGAGCGTGTGTAATCGCGTCCACAAACGCGTCGCAACTCGTCCCCATGTCTGACAACAATTTGTTGCAGACATGGACGGAACACGGAAGCCAAGTGATCCTCCTATTTGCAGGAGGGATGCCCGGCGAGGCCAATGCCCTCGCAGCCCCCACGTACGCCGATGCGGAGTCTGTGTATATCGCATTGACCCACTGCGGGCCGCCAAAACTAAACTCGTGGAAGATGGTCACCCATCTCCGAAGGACGTGCACTTCATCGTCCGGCTCGCCCTCGCGATTGATCGTCGTGTAGACGACGACCCCTCGCGAGCCGGCGGCAAGGAAATTCACGATCGTTCTCCCATCTCATGATTTCCTCCCGTCGGAGAGGAGGGTGACACCAGTGATTTAGAATGGCTGCCTCACCTCTTTGAACTCCTCCGCCAGATCCTCACGGTGGGTCTGCACCGCCTGCATACTCGCAATCTCGTTGTGGCTGGGGCGCACAGCGCGCGGGGAACTGTCAGGCTGCCCAAGAAGGACCTGCTGGTATGCCTTCCAAGCCTGGTTGCGGAAGGCATTGAAGGGGACCCCGCTGGAATAGAGCCAGCGAAGGAATGTCTTCTTGTGGCGAGCAACCCACTCGCCACCGTAGACGTCAGTGACCTTCTGCTGGCGAAGCCTCCCACCTGGGGCGGCGACCGGATCTGTTCCACCTTCCTTCCTCTTGGAAGAACCCTCCCCTACAGGTCCCTTGGCTGCTCGCCTCAAAAAGTCCTCCATCCTCTCCCCAATGCCTGGATAAACCTCAGGCACGTCCTCGTGTCCTGGGACTCCCTGCTCGCCCGGGACACGCGCCTCGCGATCGACGTCGATCGCGCCCTCCTCCGTGTCTCCGCCTCCACCATCTCCCCCGACCCCTCCTAACGCTCCCTCCACGGGCTGCCGCCCCGCCTCTCCTCCCCTCACACCACCCGTGCCAGGCACATCGACTCCGCGCTCCGCCGCGTACCTGGCAACCCTCTCCATTTGATCGCTCTCGAACTTCTGTTGACTCCGTCGCGCGATCTCGTACAAAGCCTCGTCGCTGACGCCCTTACAGTAGTTCGTCTACGTGAAATGCCTCGTCGCCTGGAATTGGCTCCCCTGAAATACTTTGTTGCAAAAAGTGCAATGTAGAATCATGACCCCCTTGTTGTCGACCTTCTGGCCGACAACCAGGTAACGGTACACAGGGGAGCGGCCCCTGAATGTGTCTTGCACATGGTCAGGGGCAGGCTCATGCTGACGCCGCTGTGACCTCCCCATGACGGCMGCCCTCGCCGCCTCGCGAGTCAACAATCGCAACCCC